CCCCCTGAAGCACTCACAAGCCATGTATGTTTATCGTAGATATACCCGTGGGTGGACAGTTCCTGTTAGTTCAACAATACGACCGACGTCGTTCTGAGTGTACTCAAACTGGACATTGTTGTTGTTGTTGTTATTGTTGTTGTTGTTGTTGTTGCTGTTGTTACAGTTTTTGCTGCTGTTGTTGTTATTGTTGTTGTTACTATTGTTGTTGTTGTTACTATAGTTGTTGTTGTTCTTGTTGTTCTTGGGATAGCAATTCCTAGGAGGCTTCACCAATAAGAACCCCTGAGACCCAGAGAAAAGGCTTCAAGTTGTAACACAGCCACAAGTGGTAGTGAAGCTAGGGGGCTCTCCTGGCCTACAGGTTCAGCTGTTCGCATTCAAAGGTCCCTGGTTCGAATCCGGGTAGCGACGGAAAAACTTTTTTCACCAGAAAATTGTCTTCTTTCACGTCATTTCCTGCTCTCTAGCAATGTTCTATCGTCTGCTTTCGTCTCCACTTTCTGCCCCCACCCCTTCACCTCCTTTGCCCTCTCCTCTGGCTCCTTCTTTCTGCTGTCTTTCAGCCACACCCCTGATCATCTGGTAGGAAAGATCTACACCTAGCCTTCTCTGACAAGGGCAAAAAATCTCGAAGATCCCGCGTGCAAGTTGTGCTCGTTAAAGATCCCTTGGTGGTCTAAAATCGACGAGAGTATGCTTCGGCCGCCACACGGGCAAAATTCAAAATATCCGACTAAATGACAGTGTTTAATGTTTCTGGCGCGCTCATATGACCGTATGCACTTGCGAGTGCCGTAAAACACTTACAAAAACAAAACAGAAGCGAGACTTTTGAGTGTTCAGAATGTGGCCAACGTTTCCCTTACAGTACTGGTCTCATCAGCCACTACAGATGCCTCAAGTCATCGTAACGTTTATACCTTCAATAGTGCGGTCGACAATTCGTGGCGCAACTTATCCTCAACTGTCTCTTTAACGAGTAAATTAATGTCACCCTTACTTTGCACAGCAGTTTTGTATCAATTTGTCTTAACTTAATCATATTTTCCCGCAACAATTGAAGCTAGCTATTAAAAAGGTTTTTTTTCGTAAATATAATATTATTTATATACAGTACCACCAAATGTGTTTAATCTCCTTCAGGCGGAAATGAGAATGTTCCGAGCACTTCCTGCTTCCCACACACGTTTTGTATACGCATATGACCTACGTCATATAGGGGGCCTAGTGAACACTTTTTTGCACCATACGTTCTCAAAACTGGCGTTCCATAAACATAGTTTCACGTTTGGAAAGAAAGGACGGACTTGCTTTTAAAAGTGATATGGTTCCAGATCATGATGTATTAATTTACTTTTATATTCTGTAGAAACCACCCGCTGGGATAATTAGTTAATTAGTAATTATATCGGAATTATTTTCTCTGGTTAGAATACAGCTACCAGGAGCATGTTTACAAAACATAATGTAGATCTACTGGGACGCACGGATACAAGTCATTGTGTGAATGTAGGTCTGTCTAGAGACTTTGGTACAAGTCATTGTGACAATGTAGGTCTAGAGACTTTGGTACAAGTCATTGTGACAATGTAGGTCTAGAGACTTTGATACAAGTCATTGTGACAATGTAGGCCTGTCTAGAGACGTTGGTACAAGTCATTGTGACAATGTAGGCCTGTCTAGAGACTTTGGTACAAGTCATTGTGACAAAGTAGGTCTGTCTAGAGACTTTGGTACAAGTCATTGTGACAATGTAGGTCTAGAGACTTTGGTACAAGTCATTGTGACAATGTAGGTCTGTCTAGAGACTTTGGTACAAGTCATTGTGACAATGTAGGCCTGTCTAGAGACGTTGGTACAAGTCATTGTGACAATGTAGGCCTGTCTAGAGACTTTGGTAAAAGTCATTGTGACAATGTAGGTCTAGAGACTTTGGTACAAGTCATTGTGACAATGTAGGTCTAGAGACTTTGGTACAAGTCATTG